GGGTGCTGGGGCGGGGGGGGCCGGGGCTGGGAGGGTGCAGCGAGGGGCATCCAGCCTGTTTTGCATCTCTCCCTGGGCCAGGAAGATTCCTGGCGTTCAACCCGGGAATGCAGAGACTGTATCAAATAATGGAAAATAAAGAGGATGGAGGAGGGAGGAAAAGCAGAACAGAACGTTTCAGGAATGCTGTAAAAGTTTGGATCCATCGAACAGCGCAAGATCCGGGAGAGAGACAGGCCAGGGTCCAAAGCCTTCTGAGCTTGGGGTGCTGAGAGCTGGACTCAGGGGGGACCCCTGGCCCCAGAGCAGGAAGGTGCCCATGGCGAAGGGCAGTCCCGGCACCATGGGGCTGGTGCCAGCCTGGCCCCGCAGCTGCTCGGGCAGCTCTGGCTCAGGGCAGGGCACGGGGCGGGGGGGCGGCCAGTTCCTCCCTTCAACTTTTGCACATAATCTGTTTCTGCAGAGAGCCGTCCCAGCTGCCCCGAATCCCAGGGGGTTCCTCACTGGTTTTGGAGATGTTTTGAGGGGGAAGGGGAGGTTTCACCCCTTGGGCTGGAGCCTGGGGCAGGGTGTAGGGCCGTGATGTGGATGCTACTCCCAGCACCCACTCTGTGCTTTCCCCGTCAGGGCCCTACATCCCTACAGCCCCCACACCTGCGTGCTGGGGGTGTCTCGTGGGGGCCCGCCAGGTCCATCACCGTCCTTGTCACAGCTCCGTCTCTGTGAAGCAACTGCTTTTGGTCTGTCTTTCCTGAGAAAGAAAGTTCCCCTGTGTCTGGGGGTGAGCCAAGACCCTGGGCACGGGGCTGGGGAAGGGCAGACCCCGCTCACGGCCCCGGCGGGTCAGCAGATGTTTCCCTCGGGAAACCCGCTGTCCCCGGCCCCTCTCCCGGTGAGGGAACGGCTCCTGCCGTGGGGGGGGGATTGCAGGGTGCAGCTGGTGTTTGGGACAGTTAGGGAGGGAGCGGGGTTGGCCCCTCGCCCCTCCCCATTGTCCCTGTGCCGGGTGCTGCTGCTCTCAGACCCCGCGCAGCTGGGCAGGGAGCGGCAGCAGAGCGAGCAGGGACAGCAAAGGGACTCACAGACACTCCGACTCTCTTTGAGTTTGCAATTGTTTAATTCCTGTCCGGGGCACGGTGGCAGGCCACGGGCTGCCGGGCGTGACACATGGGAGGCTGCGAGCGGTGGGTGTGCGCCTGCGCGTGCAAAACAGTCACAGCATCGCCACAAACAGCACAAAAATAACCGCTACAAAAGCGACACCTTCCCTGGTTTGTTTTTCTGGCCTGGATTTCACGCGCGGCTGGGATCCCGGGGTGCAGGGTGAGGGGAGGACGGGCGGCTCTGAGCAGCTTTCGGTTAATTGCTGGCTTCGAGGAGGTGTCAGGCAGAGGCAGGGGGTCCTTTCGCCCTGGCAGAGCCCATTTGATTTGCTGCAAAGTCCAGCTGTTGCAAATGTGTGTGCTGTCCCCTCCGGTGGAGGACTCGTGTGAGGGCACATGCGTGCGCAAGGGCACACGCATGTGCGGCCAGAGCCCAGCCCCAGGAGGTACCGTGTGTGGGGCGCAGGAGCCCATGCCCACCCAGTGTGTAAAACCATCTTTGGAAAAAGCCCTTAATGGGAGGGCTGAGGAGATCTCCCACCCACACCCCCCCCAGCCCCGGGCCATCTGCAGAGCCCAGCCCGCATCCCCAGGGGAGCAGACGATGCAGCAGTGGGGGGAGAGGTGGGATGGGGAGAAACCCAGGGAGTGGGGTTGGTGCCCCCCCCGCTGGGGTGCGCGCAGCCTGCGGGTGCTGGTTGGCACCTCGGAGTCCGTGTTGTCTTCCAAATGGGCACCCCGAGCTGGGCTGGGGCTGCTGGGCATAGGGCTGCCCTCCCTGGGCCTTGGCTCGTCTCCTGTTGTGGTTGGTGCCGTATGAAGCCGGGGATGGCTTCAACCTCTGTCAGCGGATCTGTGGCCCCCGAGTCACTGTGTGCCCCCGATCACGCAGCTGCGGTGAGGCTGGGGTGGGACCGGGCTTCTGGCACTTGCTCCTTGCTAATGGCTTTTCCTGCTGTGCTGGGGACATGGCGCTGCCCGCCCCCCCCCCCCCCCCCCCCGCGGGCGGCCCGGGGTGGGCTGGGCCTGCCGGTGGCCCTGTGGCTGCTCCTCTCCCTCTCTCCTGCCTGCTGGGAAGGGACTGTCTGCCTCTTGCTTTAATTGCGCTTTCAAAGCCCTCGGGCCCGGCCAGGCGTGCGGGGATGGACCTGGGGAGAGGCAGGTGCAGGGGCGTCCCACCGGCCCCCACGCATCAGCCATCCCGGCTCCACACGCTCAGCCAGGGCAGGAGCTCCTGGGAGCTGTGAAAATGGATGTGCACTTAACGACCAGCATAAATTAAGTCCCAAGAGCTCTCCCCTCCTCCGCCTGGGCCCCGGCATCCGCCAGCTGCAGGAACAGCCACGGGCAGGGGCCGGAGCCGGACCCTGCTTTGCACTGGGGAGCGCGGACGCCCCACCCGGGTTTCCTCCCTCCTGCTTGCCCAGGGCAGCAGCGCAGGCAGCCCCGGGTGGGAGGGAGCAGCCGGAGGAAGGGCTTGGCCGTGGGGACCGGAGCTCGGACCAGTGTCTCCACGCCCGTGTCTCCTCCAGAGCGGCTGCCAGCACATCTGCCCCCTCGCAGGCTCTGCTGTCCCTTGCTCTGGGAAGTAAATGGCAATGATCCATCGCCTGACGATACCTCCAGGCCTCCCACCCTAATTACTGTCGCAGCTAAGCACTTCGTTAGTGTCATCTGGCAAGCAGCCAGCCGGCTCCCTGTGGCGCCAGAGCATCCCCAGTCACAGCCAGGTCCCGGGCAGACGCCCTCAGCCCCCGCTCTGCGACTGCTGGCTGCTGAACCTGCACCTGATGCTTTGCGGCGTGGGGGGCTTTTGCCGGGCCCCGCAGGGCTGCACTGCCGGTCGGGCTGGTCCAGGGCACTTGCGCCACTGGGACACAAGAAGGCAGGCACGTGGGCACTTGCTGCGGGGGGTCAAGGCACCCCCTCCTCGCAGCACCCCGGGGCCCGGCTGCACCCGAGAGAGCTGCGTCGGGGCCAGCAAGGCGGCTGCCGCCGGCAGCATCCCCGGGCGCAGCCGCAGCAGTTTGCGTTGCGGAGGCGGGTGCTGGGCCTGGGAGCACGAACCTCAGCTGGAGCAGAGCCTGTTGCAATGTGTGTGTCTGTGCCTGTCCGTGTGTCTGTGCACGTGCGTCTGTGTGTGTCTGTGTGTCTGTGCACGTGTGTGCGCGTGTGCCTGTGCGCGCAGCCCAGAAAGGTCACTGTCCGGGAAAGGTGTCAGCAGCCAAGAAATGGGCTTGGAATGGAAAGTGTGAGCCAGGTTGAACCGCAGGGGTGGCCAGAACCGTCCCACTCCAGCCCCTCCGTGGTCACCGTTTCCATCTGTGCCGCGGCCATGGGAGGAGTGGGTCCGGCCATGCCGGGTCACCCCCAGGTGCCTCTCCCGGGGGATTCGGGCAGGGCAGGGGGCCAACGGGTGCCTGGAGGAGCTGTGCGGGCAAGGGGTGCTTGGCTCTGGGGTGGCAAGGGGAAGGGGAGAAAGCAGCCGGCGGAAGGAAAGAGTTCAGCCTTTGTCCGTGCGCTGTGTCCGGTTCACTGGTGGCACAATGTCCCCATTCACCCGCCGCCTGTGCTCTTCACTGCTTCTCTCTGCTCTCTTGCAGGGTTGTGGAGGCCAGCACCCTTCAGCAGGAGAGGCTGCAGGCCATCGCGGTGAGTCCCCTGCGCGCTGCGAGCGCACAATGAGCACACCAGACCTTGAGCTGGCATCCCCACGTCCCCGCGCCATCGCCTGCAGCACGTGGGGCAGACGCCAGCGGGGAGGAGAGTGCGGGCACAGTGGCTGTGCCGGCGCAGGGGCTGTGCGGCCGCTTTCCCAGCCCCTGCCTCTGGCCCAGAAAGCTGCTGAGAGGCTGCAGGCAGGGGCAGGAGCCAGAGAGCCCTTGTGGGCACCCAGCCCCGGGCAGGGGGTCTCTAGCAGCCAAACAAGGACTTGCGGGAGCCCCTGCCAGGGCATCCTGCCCTGCGGCAGCTCTTCCCAGGGATGTGCCACAGCCGGGGTGCAGGATCTGGCGGGGCTTAGCTCTGCATTCCTGAAAGAAGGACAGAGCGAGCAACGGGCGGCTGGGAGTTCTAATTAATGAAGCAACGCCTTGACGAGCCCCGAGTGAGAGGGAAATGAGTGATGATTCCCTCCTTGTCCTTTCCCAGGGAAGGGCTGAGGATCGTGCAGGATCTGGCCTATGTTCTGTGAGCACTAGTAATTATATTAGTTAGCGAGCAGTCGGGGGCTGCGCTGGGCAGCCCCTCCCCGGCACAGAGCAGGGCACTGGGTTGGTTTTAAACCCCGTCGATGTCTCGTAGCAGTTCCCTTGCCTGCCGCAGGCTGCCAGCTTCCCTGTCCCGTCCCGCTACCGGCCGATCTCCGCTGCACAAAGGGCAAATTGTTCTGGGCCAGAGGAGAAAGAAAGCGGGTGACGCTTCCCAGGCTGGGACTGACTCTGCTGAAATGATCTGGACTGGCCCCAGGACGCGCAGCGAGGGGGGGCCAGGGAGAGGCCGTTGGGGCTGGTTCCCCCCGTGCTGGCCAGCTCGCTCAGCGGGGCTGGGTGAGGGGAAGGTGATGTTTTGAGACAGTGAACAGACTCCAGGCTCTGCCCTGATTGCTCTGCACCCTCCGTGCCTCAGTTTCCCCCAGTGGGGGCAGGGACATGACACAGGGCTGGGGAGCTCCCAGTGGGCTGTCCCCAAGGCCAATCTCTCAGCCCCAGGCACGGCTCGCGTCCCGATGTCAGAATCCCTGGGAGCCCCTCGCCCCCCACGCCCTGCTCCTCCCCGCTCCGGGGACGCTGCCCTGGCCAGGAGGGAGGTGACCCTGCTCCGGCAGTGCCCGGCGCCAACCCCCTCCCCACGCCGACCCTGGCTCTGCTGCTCTCGTCCCTCCAGGAGAAGCGGAAACGTCAGACAGAGATCGAGAACAAAAGGCGGCAGCTCGAGGATGACAGGCGGCAGCTGCAGCATCTCAAGGTGAGGATCCCCTGGGACACCCGGGCTGCCTCTGCACCGGGGACGCGCCAGGGACCCCCTGGCTGTGGGGGCGGCAGGACCATGACCCCCTTCTGCTCCCCAGTCCAAGGCTCTGCGGGAGAGATGGCTGTTGGAGGGGGCCCCGGCCTCAGCCTCCGAGGAGGACGAGGCCATGAAGAAGCAGATGCAGGAGGATGAGGTGAAGACCAAGGAGCTGGAGGAAACCATCCAGAGGTAACGGGGACGGTGTGGGGCCGGGGTGTCGGGGTGCGCCCAGGGGGTGCCTGAGTCCCTCCAGAGACCCCCCCGACCTTCTCTTCCCCCCATGCAGATGGGAGGCTGAGATGCAGCTCAGTCCCACACGCTGGGCACAAGGCATGAGGCACAAGGCATGCTGCCGTGCAGCCGTGCTTGCTTGCGTTCAGCCGCGGCCGTGCTCGGAGGGGACCATCCACTCTGGAGCTCGGAGCTGCCGGGAGCAGAGGTGCCTCCGCGGCGCTGCCAGGGCTCAGCCGCTCTCGCCATGAACCGTCCAGCTGGGTTCTTGCCGGCATTTGTCCGGGGGCTGCGGCTAGTCCTGGAGCCCACCCGGCCCTGCCGGCCCCTCTGAGCATGGACACTCCTAGCTGTGCTCCTGCCTGGGGCTGTCCCCACGCCCACCTCCATGGCTGGGAGCTGTGTAGGGTGTCAGTGGGAGCCGTGGGGCTGGGGCCCAGGGCTGGGCTGAAGGCTGGGGTCCCCTGGGGGGGCTGTTTGGTGCCCAGCACCTGTGATCGCAAAGGCAGGGAAACAGGGGGCTGGTTCCCCATGGACATCTGTCCCCATTGTGGTGGCTCAGCCCCTGGGGAAGGGGCAGGGTGGGAGGTTGGGGGGTAGAAGCCTCAGCCCCTGCCCAGCTCCCTTGTGCCTGGGCTGCTGAAGGCAGGGGGGGCAGGCCGGGTGCCCCGGCACAGAGGTGTCCCGGCAGCCCGGCTGCCCTGCAAGAATGCAATCAGTCATGGCTGTGCCGTTAATTACCGAGCATCGGTGCAGAGAGGGGTCAGGCACGAAGGGGCCTTTGTGTCCGTCTAATGGCGCGGTGCATTCCTCCGCCAGCGCCTTGCAGGGAGACGGGAGTTAAGTGGGGGGCTCTGCCGGAGGGTGCTGCCACCGCACCGACAGAGGGGCCCTAATTTACATGGACATGAATCCATGGGGACTCCGCTGACCTCCGCCACGTCCCGGTGGGGCCCTGCTGCCGGCACAGCTCTTGGCCGGGCTCGGTGGCTGGGAATGGGCGGTCGCCCTCGTGGGAATCTCAAACAGGCTTCAGGCAACATGTGTGGGAGCAGAACGGTGATGGAGCGATGTTGCTCCATGCCACCGAGCAAGGGCACTGGCAAGTACATGGCGGGCTCGGTTCAGTCACATGGGGACAGCGAGAGCTGGGGGGTCGCCCCATGGGGTCAGTCCTGCTACCCAGTGCCTGCGGGGGGTTTCTTCCATCCACTTGGGCCGAGCCCGTCGGCTGAGCAGCCACCCTGGTTGCTCAGCAGCTGCGGGGCCATGACTGTTGTCCTGAGCATCGCTCACCACGTGGAGATGGGTGGAGGCACGTGGCCGCCAGGCGCCTGGGTTAAGGGTGATGGCAGCACCCGCTGGGTGAAGCCCCTGGGTTTGTTCCAGCAAACACATGCTTTTCCCCTGCAAAGAGGTGGTGACGGCCGTGCCAGAGGTCTGTTGCGAGCCCAGGGGCTGATTTGTGCCTCCCCTCTCTCCTGTGCCATGTCTCTGGCCCACGTTCGCAGGTCTGCTGTGGCTGGCTGCACCGTGGCTGCCTGCACCATGGCTGCCGGCACCACGGCTCCCCACGGCCTCTCAGCCCCGACTCTCCCCGCAGGCTGGAGAAGGAGCTGGAGACGCTGGAGAACGGCAGCTCGGCAGCTTCCACCAAGGAGAACCTGGCAGAGGTGGCGGCACCGGCCAAGGAAGAGAAGGCAGAGGCCGTCCCCAACATGCAGAAGGTGGGCACGGCTGCTCTCCATGGGCAGGGCTGCCTGCTGCGGGAGGGGTGAAGGGGGAGAGGGGGTGCCTGGGGGGTCGGCACTTGCTCAGCCCCCACCAGACTGGAGCTGGTTCTTGCTGCCGCCGCAGAGCAGGGAGCTGCTGGGGTGATGGCACGGTGGTGGGCAAGTTGCACTGGCAGAGGGGCTGAGCGCAGGGAGCTGCTGCCAACCGGCTGCAGGGTTGCATCAGGGCACTGGCGTGGCTGTGGCGGGCCCCAGTCCCCGCTGAGCTGGGCGGATTGGCCACCCCACGTGTCCCTGTCACCCTTGGAGCCCCTGCCCTGCCGATCCTGTGCCAGCGGGGCTGGGCTGGGGGTCCCTTGCCCTGGTGGGGATGGGTGCGTGAGCAGTGGGTGTGCGGGCAGCGGGTGTGTGGCATCTGCTGGCGGCTCCTAACCTCTCCCTTCTGTTTTGCAGAGTCCCCTGGGCACAGTCAAGGGTAGGTGATCCCCACCTCGGCTGCAGTTCCTGCTCTCAGGAGGCAGCGCCTGCCACCCCCTCGTGCTGCCCCGGCACTGGGGCCAGATGGGTGGGGGGAGCCAGGGCAGCCCTGTCCCCATGTCCCCTGCCCCTGTCCCCTCCCGGGCAGCGATGCCCTGCGGCGGGGGAGCCCGTCCCAGGCACCAGCCACGGGGGGACACGCCACCCTCCCTGGGGCCCATCCTGCGGGCACATGGACGACCAGGCAATCGTTTTGGCTCAGGCGGTCGCCTCTCCTCTCCGTCTCCAGCCGAGAAGGTCTCCAGCAGCCCCATGAAGGCGGTGGAGGGCACTGACATGATGAAGGCAGGTAGGTGCCTGCTTCCCCGGGAGGAGCGCTCCTTCCCGGTCGCTTCCCCCCTCCCCGATGGTAGGTGGTAGGTGCCTGCTTCCCCGGGAGGAGCGCTCCTTCCCGGCCCCCTCCCCCCTCCCGCGCCGCCCCTCTGCCCGCCCTCCCCCCCCCCCCCGCCGCTCCCCACTGCTCGATGGCTTTCCAAGCCCAAGGCAGAGAACATCAGTTATTTGCAATCAGAGGGTTTGTTTTCGCTTCCACACCATGGCTGGTTCGTGGTTCAGGGCCCCCCCTCACCCCCTGTTCCATATCTCTGCTCCAGTTTCATCCTTCGCCTTCTGCTCTGTTTGCGGCTTCTCGGAGCGCGGGAGAGGGAGCGGAGCATCGGCTGCCGGCATGGCTGACCCTGTGCCAGCACTCACGGCCCCATGGCTAGCTGCCGGTGGGGAGCTTGCAGGGGCGCGCGGGGCCGAGCTGCCCGCGCTGGGGGTGCTGCGGCCGGCTCCACTGCTGGAGAGGTTTGCTCTGGTTTGGGGGGATGGCTCAGACAGGGCTGCGGCACCGGCACTGGGCAGAGCCTGTCTTGGGGTCCTCGGAGCAAAGCGCCACCGGGCTGAGGCGACCCCAGTGCCAGCAGGGACTGGCTGGGAGCTGAAGGAGAGATGCCGAGGATCACCCGTCCCATGGGGCAGAGGGGCTGCCCCAGCGCCAGCACCCTCAGCAGGGACACCACCTCCCACAAGCATGAGCCTGGCTCCCAGCCCAGGCCCCCGTGGCCAGCACCACTCACCGGCCGGACAGACGGACGCGGCGCCACCTGCCATGGTGCCTCCAGGGCCTGGTTGGGCCCCAGCCCGGGGGGACGCAGAAGCTGTGGAGGTAAGGTGATGCTGGCAGCGCCAGGACAGCAATGGCCCCGCGGGTCCCGGTAGGAAGGCTGTGCCCGGGATGTCGCACCCGCCTCTGCCGTTCACTCCTTGCTGTCACCTGCTGCCTTGCTAACGCCGCTGAGCACCGCACCGCACCGCTGCCGCCATGTGCCTGCCCGCTGCCAACCGCTGAGCAGGGGCTAGGGAGGGCCGGGGCCGCCGTAACGCGCGCTGTGCTCTTTGTGTCCCAGCCATGTACTCAGTGGAGATCACGGTGGAGAAGGACAGAGTGACTGGGGAGACCAAGGTCCTGTCCAGCACCACCCTGCTCCCCCAGAACCACTGTCTACAGGGGGTCAAAGTGTACGAGGATGAGCTGAAAGGTACGGCCCATCCTGCACCGCTTGGAGGCGTCAGGAGCGAAGGGCAGGGGACGAGGGAGCGGCTGCCCGAGCATCCCAGCAGGTGCCAGGGCTAGGAAGGGCTGGGGCCGCTCCTGGCCGTCCTCGCCAGCTCTGTAGGGCAGACGGCTCAGGGCAACCCCTCGCCGGCCCCAATCCTGCACTCTGGCCAGCCCGCCGTGGGATCTGTCCCAGTGGCATGGTGTAGACGGTCCCGATGGGCCAGCCCTGGTTTGCACATTGCGACCCTGTGCTGCTGGAGAGCAGAGAAGAGGATCTGCCATATCCAAGACTCGGGAGCCCATCCCGCCGGTGAGGAATGCAGCACCGGCACCGCATTGGCCCAACGTGCCCAGGCTGGCAGAGGGGAGCGTGGCCACTGGGCACAGAGGAGGTGCAGCAAGAGGGACCAGTCCCTGCCTGCGGCCCCTGCTTTTGGAAAGCTCCGGGAACCTGCTTCGAAGGGCCTGGTGACACCCGAGGGACGGCTGTGTCGGTGGCAAGGACCAGCCACGGAGCTGGGGCGCGTTACTGGGGACTGTGGTGGCCAAATGGACTGACCGCCTCTCCAAGGAAACGGCGCTGCACCGACAGCCGGTCCTGTTCAACACCCTCCCTGTGGCCATGGCTGTGCCGGGACATGCTGACCTTCACCTCCACCAGCCGCCTGGCTCAGCCTCCCTGCTGCTCTGGGGCCCCCAGCTCCAAGGACGGGCCAAGGAGCCGCCTCGGCAGCGATCAGCCCGGGGCAGCCGTGCGTTGATCCCGGTCGAGCCGGCCCTGCCTGGGCTGGTTTTGGTCCATCACTCCATCGACTGGCTGTTGAGGCTGTTGCACTGATCATCGCATGATGCCCCAGGTCAAGCGGAAAATGCGATGAGCCGGAGGCTGCTCTCGCCATGACGCACGTCTGCTGCCTCCAGCGCTGCAAGCAGCCATGCAAAGCGTGCCGGCGGTGGAAGAGCCCCATCCCCTCCTGGGCATGGGACCACCGGGTGCCACAGGCAGCGGGACACGGCGGGATGTGGCAGGACGTGGTGGGATGCGGTGGGGCAGCACCTGCCGAGCGCTCACTGGGGTCTTACAGGTGGCAGCGGCGATCTGCTGCAGAGCATCGTGTCGGTCCTGGCTGAGCCAGGCGCCAGCCGGACACCGTCCCGCCGCGGCGAGCGCGGCCAGCTTGGCAGGCTGTCAGTGACCTGGCAGACGGCTGCGGCTCCCGCAGGGCTCGCCGGGTCTGAGGCTTCGGAGGTGCCAAGGGCCGGGAACGGCTCCTCGCGTTGTGCTTTTGTTTTGGCTTCCCCATCTGCCGTCGGGCAGGGGCCAGGCGATGCTGGGGTGGGCCCGGCAGCAGCTCCGGCTGAGGGGGGGGTAGGGGTGCTGCCAGGGGGTCCCGGCCTCAGTGCCAGGGCCTTTGTGGAGGGGAAGGTGCCACTCCCCAGACGCATGGGAGCCGGGTTTGAGCGGGTTGCGCCAGAAGGAGCTTTTCCAGGTCGACTTGTGCCCCCAGCCCGAGCCTCCCGGCCCGAGCCCCCCTCACCCTCCCTCCTCTTGTCCCCGCAGTGGTGCACGCGGTGAGCGCCGAGGACGGGGCCCTGCAGAATGGGGCCCACCCCCTCAGCTCCTCCGAGGTCGACGAGCTCCTGCACAAGGCAGACGAGGCCACCCTGAGCAAAGCTGCTGGGCGGGAGGCCCCGGCCAAGGCTGGTGAGGCCGGCAGCGCCCCGGCCAGCCAGAAGCCAACGCCGCGGCGGGAGATCACGGGGCTGCAGGCCAAGCCACGGGAAAGCACCACGGTGCTGCCACCGGGCGAGGGGACGGAGCCGAGCCGGGAGCAGCCCGTCACCATGATCTTCATGGGCTACCAGAACGTGGAGGACGAGGATGAGACCAAGAAGGTGCTGGGGCTGGAGGGCACCATCAAGGCCGAGCTGGTGGTGATCGAGGATGCCGAGAGCAAGCCGGAGCCGGTGCGCAAGGACCACGCACCACCCAACGGCACTGCGCTGGAGCCAGCGGCTGCCCAGCCACCGGGGGAGGAGGGCCCTGGTGGGCAGAAGCCGGGCGCCAACGCCACAGACGCCAAGGAGGCCGAGCAGGAGACGGACGTGAAGAAGCAGCGCTGCAAGTGCTGCACGGTGATGT